GGGGACAAGACCCGACCTTGGAGCTGCGGGCATCCTCGCTTCAAGGCAGAGGCGCCGTGATCAGGCGGGATGTGCCTCTGAGGGCCACGGCCCAGCGGCCCACCATGGCCCCCAGGACCCTCTGGAGCTGCTACCTCTGTTGCCTGCTGACCACAGCCGTGGGGGCAGCTAGCTACCCACCTCGCGGGTACAGCCTCTACACAGGGAACGGTGGGGCCCTCAGCCCCGGAGGGCCCCAGGCCCAGAGCGCCCCTCGGCCTGCCAGCCGCCACAGGTAAGTGTCTGGTGAAGAGGGGCCCAGCCCCAGGCTGATGGTAGGTGGGAGGGTGGGTCAGAAGTGGGTATCGAGGCCCCCGCTTTAGCTGCCCTCTCCTGGGCTGTCTCCCCAATGCAGGGAAGAGAGGGAGAGGAAGCCCATCCATCAGATGGCTCCTCACGAGCCCACCTTCCTGCTGGGCGTTTCCAGGGCCCCCCCCCCAATAGATAGGTCCTCTTGTCTAACCTCAGGGGGTCAGCTTGGGACCTGAAGTTAGGTGTCCAGGGGGACGACCTGAGGGGCATGGCCGGGCCTTCCTGCCCTGCTACCAGCCTGGGACCCTCGGGCAGCACTTTCATCCCTTCCTGGGACTTCCTCAGCCCCTCCAGGGATCCCTGATACTGACACGCTTTTGCTTTTGCTGTGCTCCTTTCGGCCTCTCCAGCCAACACAGATCCGAGGCCAGCAAACCCCCTGAGGGACAGGGCTCATCAATGGCTTATTCTCTGCTTAACCCTGAGCTGGACCCCTGCCTGCCGGGGCCTCTCCCCTGAGGGGTGGGTGGAAGCCAGCATCCAGGGAATCACCGAATCACCAGAGGGCCCCAGCCAGCCGGCTCACACAGGCCACGCCAGGCTAGAGACTGAGACAGAAAAGGGACACGAATGAATGGGTGAATCCAGAGGCTCCCCGGGACCCCCCGCCCCAGCCGTGAGGATCGACTTCTCATGGTTGTGGTTTTCCATTCTGCGCCTCCTCTCCTGTCTTGAAAAGTCTTTATCGAGACTCCGGGCGGACAGGAAGGCGTGGGGGAGTTGCCCCTGCCAGAGCCGGCTCCCACTGGTCCCCCAGGGCCCTTCATCCTTTGACCCCCCCCCCCTCCAGCCCTCTGGTGGTCCTGGGCCCTCCCCGGGGTGTGTGTCCCTGGCTCTTGGGCCTACGTGGGGTTGTGCCTGCAGGAACTGGTGTGCCTTCGTGGTGACTCGGACAGTGAGCTGTGTCCTGGAGGATGGAGTAGAGACCTTCGTCAAGCCCGACTACCAGCCCTGTGGCTGGGGCCAGCCCCAGTGTCCCCGCAGCATCATGTGAGCCCAGCGCTGGGGAGTGGGTGCTTGGTGGGGGCCGGGCCAGGACAGCACTAGGGCGGCCATCTCGGGAATGTGCACCAGCAGGTAGCGAGGAGTACAACCAGGGGCTCAGTCAGAGCCATTCTGAGGAGAAGCTGAGGCAACAGTTTGGCTGGTGGGCACACTTAACTAGAGCACTCTGCCAGCCCCTCAATTGCCTTCTCTGGGCTGGTCATGCTCAAGGCGAGGCGTTCAAGGCTCTCAGCACAGGACAGTGGAGGAAGAACAGCGATTTGGCCCTTGGCCAACAAGCTAGCTGACAGCTGTCAGCTGAGCAAGACCACATGCTGAACGGTGAGGGGGACCCAGCCTGAGGGACAGGCCTTTGCCCACAGCAGCTGCCCATCTGTGAGGACAGGGGCCACGGTCACCGACAGTGCAGGGAGGAGTAATGAGCCCTCCCTCCACCTCTCCCAGGTACCGCAGCTTCCTCCGTCCTCGCTACCGCGTGGCCTACAAAACGGTGACGGACATGGAGTGGAGGTGCTGTCAGGGATATGGGGGTGATGACTGTGCTGAGAATCCTGCCCCAGTGCTGGGTCCTGCGCCGACCACACCACGCCCCCGGCCACGGCCTGGCCGCCCCAACCTTTCTGGCTCCAGTGCAGGAAGCCACCTGAGTGGACTAGGCGGGGAAGGTGAGTATGGGAGCCCTGGAGAGAGTAGTGGGAAGTGGGGGGGGGGGGCAGAAAACGGGGACCAGGCTGCTGAGGGAAACCTCCATGTTCCAAGTCAGAAAAAAGGGACAGAAAAGAGTTAATGGGATCTCTGAGATTCCCTGTCCATGTGTGTGTGCGTGCATTTGCATGTGTAAGCGTGTGTGTGCGCGCATGTGCGTGTGTGTGCGTGTGTGTGTGTGTACACCAGAGATGGAGAGATTGAGAGGGACCAGAGAAAAAGGAGGCAGAGAAAGTGAATGTGCTTCCACATGCCCACATGTGGCCAAGATACTTCCTAGTTGGGAACAGCTGCGGGAAGAAGGGGGAATTCCTTCTGAAGCTTGGTCCAAGGGGACAGACAGTTGGGACTACAAGTCCCAGCATGCACTGCAACCAACTACAGGTCCCAGGCCCCTCCCTGGCCTCTGGAGACTGCAAGTCCCAGAATGCAGCAGTCCCTGTTGCTTTCCCTCCCCCTCCCCAGTGTGCTGGGCCCTGCGGATGTGCTGTGTTTGCTTGCCAGGGAGCAAGTCATGTTGTAATTATGGAAACAGGAACTTCTGGCTGACTCTCCCCTCATCCAGCTGGAGCCCCCAGAGGCCTGCCACAGAACTCATCTGTGTCCTGTGGTGTTGTGGAGCGGTGCTGCCCAGGAATGGCCGCTGTCCTGGGGCCACAGAGCCGCCCCACATTCCCATTTCACTTGCCACGGGAGTGGCCGTGTCACACCTGTTTCACAGAGAAGGAAGCCGTTTCCATAGCGTTAAGAGGCCCTCTGGACAGAGAGGACATGGGCTGGGTGGTCAGACGGATGACCTGGGTGTGAAACTTGGCTCTGCCGCTTATTTAACTTGTAACCCATGGCCCAGCTACTTAAGCTCTCCGGTCCTCTGTTTCCCACTCTGCAGAATGGGAAGAGCTCACGGTAGCTGCCCAATGGCGTGTTGCAAGGGGGAAAGATCTGGCCCTCAAGGCATTTAGTGAATGGGAGTTTCTTTCTGTCTTTTCTTGCTCAAATCACCCCGCTTAAGCCATAGTCAAATCAGTTAGGACCTCTGACCTCTTGCTGGAGTTGGACCTAGGAGGCTGGTACTGAGTCCAGCCCCGCTGCCTTATGTCTTCTCTCTGCCAGGTCCTGGGGAATCAGAGAAGGTGCAGCAGCTGGAGGAGCAGGTACAGAGCCTGACAAAGGAGCTGCAGGGCCTTCGGGGTGTCCTGCAGGGACTGAGTGGGCGCCTGGTGGAAGATGTCCAGAAGGCTGTGGAGACGGCCTTTAACGGGAGGCAGCAGCCAGCAGACGCAGCTGCCCGCCCTGGCGTGCACGAAACCCTCAATGAGATCCAGCAGCAGCTGCAGCAACTGGACAAGCGTGTCTCCACCCATGACCAGGAGCTGGGCCATCTCAACAACCATCACGGTGGTGGTGGCAGAGCCCTGGATCCGGCCCCAGCCTCTCCCGGCCACAGCGAGGAGCTGCTGCGGGAGGTGGAGCAGCGGCTGCAGGAGTCCTGCTCCGTGTGCCTGGCGGGGCTAGATGGCTTCCGCAGGCAGCAGCAGGAGGACAGGGAGCGGCTGCGAAGACTGGAGAAGCTACTGGAGGAGCGGCAGCGGCAGCTCGCCGGGCAGGCCGTGGGCCGCAGGCCCCCTCAGGAATGCTGCCCTCCGGAGCTGGGCCGGCGACTGGCAGAGCTGGAGCGGAGGCTAGAGGTCGTGGCCGGTTCAGTGACCGTGCTGAGTGGGCGGAGAGGCACGGAGCTGGAAGGTGCAGCGGGGCAGGGGGGCCATCCCCCAGGCTACACCAGCTTAGCATCCCGCCTCTCCCGCCTGGAAGACCGATTCAACTCTACCCTGGGTCCCTCGCAGGAGCAGGAGGAGGGCCGGCCTGGGCGTCCTGGGGGCCTGAGCCACTGGCTGCCCGCTGCCAGAGGCCGGTTAGAGAAGCTGGAGGGGCTGCTGAACAATGTGAGCAAGGAGCTGGGTGGGCGGCTGGACCTGCTGGAAGAGCAGGTGGCAGGGGCCGTGCAGGCATGTGGGCAGCTCTGCTCTGGGGCTCTGGGGGAGAAGGACTCCCAGGTCAGTGAGACCCTCAGTGCTTTGGAGCGCAGGGTGCTGGACGGCGAGGGGCAGCTGCGGCTGGTCATCTCTGGCCTAAACAAGGTGGGAGCAGCTGGGGAGACACGGCAGGCCACGCTGGAAGGGTTGCAAGGGGTCGTAGGCCAGCTCCAGGGTCGTGTCGATGCTCAGGATGAGGCAGCTGCAGAGCTCACACTTCAGCTGAATCTCACAGCTGCACGGCTGGGCCAGCTAGAGGGTCTGCTGCAGGCCCGCGGGGATGAGGGCTGTGGGGCCTGCGGGGGGGTCCAGGAGGAACTGGGCCGCCTTCGGGATGGCGTGGAGCGCTGCTCCTGCCCCCTGCTGCCTCCACGGGGCCCGGGGGCTGGCCCGGGTGTTGGGGGGCCGAGCCGTGGGCCTCTGGATGGCTTCAGTGTGTTCGGGGGCAGCTCAGGCTCAGCCCTCCAGGCCCTGCAAGGAGAGCTTTCCGAAGTCATCCTCACCGTCAGCTCCTTCAATGACTCGCTGCATGAGCTCCAGGCCACGGTGGAGGGCCAGGGTGCTGATCTGGCCGACCTGGGAGCCACCAAGGACCGCATCATCTCCGAGATTAACAGGCTGCAGCAGGAGGCCACAGAACATGTCATGGAGAGCGAGGAGCGCTTCCGAGGCCTGGAGGAGGGACAGGCGCAGGCTGGCCAGTGCCCCAGCCTAGAGGGGCGATTGGGCCGTCTGGAGGGAGTCTGTGAGCGGTTGGACACAGTGGCCGGGGGACTGCACGGCCTACGTGAGGGCCTTTCCAGACATGTGGCTGGGCTCTGGGCTGGGCTACGGGAGACCAACAGCACCAGCCAGACACAGGCAGCCCTGCTGGAGAAGCTGCTGGGGGGACAGGCGGGCCTGGGCAGGCGGCTCGGCGCCCTGAACAGCTCACTGCTGCTCCTGGAGGACCGGCTCCACCAGCTCGGCCTGAAGGACTTCACTGGTGAGGGGGCAAGAGGAGGCCTGGGGTGTGGGGGGGACCCCTTTCCAGTTCTTTCTCCCTCTCTCACAACAGCCCAGCCTTAACCCCATCTACATTTTTCTTTGCTCTGCTCAGCATGAATTGCAGAGCCC